ATTTGCGTACCGCATCGAAATGCAATCGCTGCACTCCCAAGTAGAGACGCTGGGCGGACGCTCTGGACGTTTCTTCATCTTGCATAGTTTGAGTTTGATTTGATTCGTAGCGCGGAATTTTCAACCTTTTGATAATTGTCCAGATATTTTATTACACGAAAGATCCGTGGTGCATGTGTGAGCACAGCAGCAGCAACACAAACAAAAGACAGATCGAGAGAGAGGCAGGAGAAGTCAGTCGGAGGGGGAGGACAAAAACAAGGTTTTGAGTCTTTATTTGAACGAGGGCAAGGAGTCGACAGCATGGACGGCTGTGGGGGGAGAGGCACAGTGGCGAGATGTTAACTATCTCGTCTGGCATACAGGAGGTCGTGTGTTCGATCCCGACTGACGACTGGATATTTGGAGTCTGCGTGTCTCTCACTGTCCCCGTGGTCGCGTGTTTTATTTTTGCTCCGGGTCCTCCGGTTTTTCCTCTACAATTCGAATCAACACGCGTTTAGGAGTGTTTGGCTGCTATACATTGTGCACGTGATAAGCCACGTCGTTGAGCTATCATTTGTGGTCAGGTCGCTTCTGAATAAATAAATATATAGCTTTGTCGGCCTTACCTGCCAAAACAGTTTCCGTTTTTTTAGTAGCAGAGACACAAGGAAATGGAACGTGTCCGAAAAGTCTTCAGCCGTTGGGAGATGGAGCAGTGAAATCAGCTAGGTCTGCAGATCCTGCTAGAATTGTTGTGGGATCGTGAGGGATGGCGACGGCTTTGGGAGGCCCTTCATCCAGAAGTGGATTTGTCATGGCTGCTGATGATGGTTGATGATGGTGGTGGTGATGATGATGGGTTGGAACACCTCCATCAGCCAGAGTTTGATTGAATCCGTAGAGGAGTTGCTAGGGGGAGCCCGATATCCACGCTGCGTCGCCAGGGATCTGACGCCGCAACCCACCTCAGGTGCAGGCAGGCGATGAGTCATGCAGTGACCGTGTGCGTGCGTTCATCAAGGAATGCCGGTGAGCACGTGTATGTACCAGGGACGTGCGGTCAGGGGAGGCAGGGGAGGCAGAGCCTGTCATACTCCAATGAAAATAGCTGTTACGAAAAGTAACAAAAAAAGAACAAGATAAATTACAAATTATGACTTTTCCACTGATCTGTGTAAAAAATGTTATTTCTGTATGATTCCAAATATGACAGAGAGATAATAACATGCACGCGCTTATTTCCTGCGCTCCATGCAGTTGCTGAGGGGTTGCGCATTCAGAGGGGAGGCCGAGCTCGTCGCTACCTCGCCTCCCGTCTCGCTGTATTTTTAGCGGAGCTCCGCAAATTTAGCGATTTTGACTATGAACATAATTGGAATCATACAGAAATGACAACATATATCAGTGCAAAAATCAGATTATTTTTCACTTTTCAGGAACAGCTATTTTCATTGGAGTTTGAGAGGTGAGGCTGTGCGTCCCCTGCCTCCCCTGACCGCACGTCCCTGGTATGTATGTGTCGTGAGCCCAACTGAGTCGCAGACGTTGTCTTTGGAGTAACACTATTTATTCAATAAATCAACATAACATAACACAACCTGCATTTGGGTGTTGAATGCCCATCTAGCCACGCTACAGCAGAACTAGACACGGTTCACTATCCCGGCCCGCACAACACAAGCGTGGCTAGAGGCTTATTTTACCCGACGTGGATCTTCATCACCAGCAACACGAAGAACCCCGAGCCCCTTACGGGGGCCCAGTTATATCGGCCTGGGCTGGGGCTGGCTCCGCCCCTCGCCCCGCCCACCATCTAGATCTCTCGAGTTCTTTCCCGAAGGCTCCCAGAGAGCTCCTCTATACCACGTGACCGCCCAGCGGCCCCGGTCCACCGATGGCCCACCTCCAATATCATCCGGTCACGTGTCGGCAGGTCAACGAGCGTATCATATCCCAACGTAACCCTGGATGGCTGACTCTCCCTCTCGCATCCCTCACCTGGAGCCCGCACCGCACACCGTACGTGGTGCCTCCGCGCTGACCAGCGCTCACCGAAGCCCCGCTAGGGCTGGTACTACATCCCATAAGCGGGCTACACATAATGCCAACACATTATCTGCCTGGGCTTCGTAAGCCCGGCACCACACAGTGACAATCACAGTCACTCCATCCGTGTAGGTCGACTCAGCCTCAAATGAGCACCCGGTGCTGTGTGTAAACATCGCCACTAAGAGAGACAAAGGCGGCGCGGCGTGGTGTTGGCCATCCACCCCATCATGTGCCGTTTCCGCGAACAGCACTTGCCCCAAAACATATTTGGAGATCTTTGTATCTTTGTGTGGGTGTATGCATACACCTGGCGCCGTGTCTAGCACTGTGCTACGTACCCGGTGATACGAGTTAGATTCTCGCTCACGGCCAACACCAGCGACGACTATCTGAACCCGTCCTGGGCCTCCCCTATGTCGACTCAACTCAGCCTGAAATGAGTATCTGGTGTGATGTATAAACATCGCCACTTGGGAGACAAATGCGGCGCGGAGTGGTGTTGGCCATCCACTCCCTCGTGTGCCGTACCGGAATTAACAGGTGCTCGCTAAAACCACTTGCCCCAACAGTCAGATAACGCTATACGGGCGATCTTTGTCTTTTTGTATGTTTGTGTATGTGCACCGAGCAGCCTCCTACATCCGCTCATCATCACCCATACCCCCCCGCCCCCCCCCCAAATCAAAATTGCTGAATCACAATATTGGAGGTGGGTGGAGTTAATAATTTATCCGGGGATTAGGGGTGGTTCCCTCGGGATGCTTACACGGGTACAGGTGATATGGAGTCTTCAGTTTTTCCTTTGAACGTAAATCCAATATATGGTGAACTACTTACCAACATACATACAGGTGTGCAGCACTACACATACAACAACAGCAGCCTTAACCAGACCACCAGTTCAAATTAACTGAACGTGTGACCGTATCATCGTTTAGACTGCTACCCCTCCCAACTCAACTATCAGTTCTTTTGATCTGGTGGTGTGGATAAGGCTGTGAATTTGTGTACACCTGTGTGCGCGTGTGTGTGTTGTTAAATCTGTTTCCAGCTTGCGTAGATTTTTTTCTGCTGTGATGAGATTTCGCGTACTTGACCGAATTTAACGATAGTGAAATATATTTCAGGCAACACCTGTTGGCTTAATGGGCACTTTGATGTGTTAATAAGGATTTGGTGGTAGTGGCTATGATGATGATAGATACCAGTGATGGTAATAATTACGGTTGGTGATTATGATGATGATGATGTTAGTAGGTACCAGTGGTAGTAAAAAGGATGATGGAAGTGATGTTAGTGGGGAGTGGTGGCGCAGCAGTTAGCGCGTTGCACTACGAACCCAGCGAGCCGAGTTCGAGTCCCGCTTACGGCCGACGCCAGTGACGATTATCTGAACCGGTCCTGGGCCTCCCCAGGTCAACTCAGCCTCAAATAAGTACCTGTGTGATGGGTAAATATCGCCACTGGAGAGACAAAGGCGTCCAGGCGTGGTGCTGGTCACCCACCCTTCCGTGTGCGGTGTTCGCTTTCACAGGTGCTCGCTAACATATGCGGGATCTTTGTCTGTGGATTGATTGGCGCATTGCGCCATGATTGTGACCGACGATTTGGTTTCGATTCAAGCTTCGGCAATCATCAGTGGCGCAAATTGATAGAACTGCTTCTGGGCCCCACCTAGATCGACTCAGCCTTAAATGGCTACCCGGTATGGTGTGTACACCTCATGACAGGACAACGACTCCCGGTGCTGGCTCCGCTTGGCCACCTTTGTATCCCCATTGCTGATGTTGACACACTAACACCCAGAACTACTTCAAAGTATGTAACCAACGTGTGTATACACGGATACGATATGATAGTGGTGATGGTGGCGGTCGTGCTGACGATGCTGATGATGACTGATGTCTCGTGTCAAAGCATATGAAGATTTATGATGTATTTTATCCAAAAATGCCTCGCTGAGTCTTACGACTCTTGATCAGGAGTCCTTCATCATCATCGTGTTTTGTCATTTGCGTCCGCATGAGTGTTTTCAGGTTGGTAATGATGAAACTCCTTCACGCATCGCCACGATTTAGTTTGCTTTATTTGTGATGACATTCACACACATCCGGCAGGACGCTCCACGGCCAAAAGGGAGCGATGGACGACGCTTTTGATATTAACAACGGAGCGGCGGCCAGGTGATGGAACGTGTCCAAAGTGCTGTCTAACTTCGGAGAGGGAGCGATGGAATCAGTTCGTGAGCAGAGCACCTGCCGGGTGGGTCGTGGCATCGAAACGATCGTGAGAGGTGGCGTGGTAGCTTGGGGAGGAGGTATTAATCCAGCAGTCGATATATCATGGCTGATGACTACAGAGCACACATTATTTTTTTTATTAAATATTACATTGTGTCTACGAATATGAATTGCGCTATGATATCCGTGAGTACATTGATGCTAAGTCTGTAGACAGACTCACGCTCGGCCGCCATGTCCCATTATTTGGTCGAAATAGTGCTGGGAATATAAATTGATTACAAAGAACTGTGGAGCGTGGACAGGACAGACGGACAGAGAGACTGAGAGAGATAAATACACAGAGCGACAGACGCAGAGACGCTGATAGAAAGACACCAAGAAACACAGACAGATAGGAAGTCAGACGTAGATAGATTTATATATATAGACTCCGACACGCCGGCGTGCATTGAACTGGGCAGGGAAATTACGCAGAGATGCACGAAGAGAGATTGACAGAGAGAGTCAAGGAGACACAGCGACACAGCGAGGTGGAAAGCATTGGACGGCGACGGAAACAAACAGGCGCCGAGATAGAGACGCGCGCAGTCATACGCAGATGGACACTGATAACAGAGGGAGACAAAAAGACCTGCGGAGAGACAAACACCACACGTGACGGTGACGTCACCACAGCGTTTGGACGAGGCTAGGCGCACCTTGAGGCACAAACGACCACAGAGACACACACGCGTGTTCGACGCGCGTAAACAAGCATCATCGCATCTTGAAATCGCCTACTTCACCCCGGACAGGTCCATTGTCCTCGCCCTAGTGGAGGAAAGCACCTTGCAGCTGATCACGGCGACAAACGCGCTGCGAAACGGACGATTCAGAGTCGCGTAGAGCACGGGGTTGATGGCCGAGCTGATGTAGCCGATCCACGTGGTGATTCGCACTGCGGCCGAACTGTTTTGGAAATTGGGGAAGAACAAGACCACCATGTAGAAGGGCAGCCAGGACAGCAGGTAGACCCCGATGATGCTGCCGAGTGTCTTGGCCGCGCTGTGTTCTCGTTTCATCGCCGCCCACTTCTGTCGAATGTTTGTAGGTTCCGCCTGCTGTTGCTGCTGCTGCTGCTGTTGGGCATGGACCTGTAGACTCACCGAGCTGATCTGGCGGCCCTGCCTGCGCGCCACGACGTAAATTCTCGCGTAAACGTATGACATTGTGAGTAGAGAGAGCACGTACGGACAGACGCCCACCACGCTGACCAGCCACGTGCTCACGAAGAACAGGCACTGGTTCGGGCACGAGATGATCTCGATGATGCCACGCGACCACTCGGGGTTAAAGTTCACGAGGATGGGAGAGGAGAAGAGCGCAGGACCGAACCACGAGATCAGCAGCATCGTCACCACGGTGTGATTGGTCACCCGCTGCGAGTAGCGGAGCGGGTCGCAGATGGCCACGTAGCGGTCGTAGGCGATGCAACCCAGGTGCATGATGGAGGAGTTCGTCAGCATGTAGTCGAGGAAGTATTGCAGATTGCAGAAGAATTGCCCGTAGAACCAGCACTTGTACACGGCCTTCATCATGCTGTAGGGCATCACCGTGAGACCGACCAGGAGGTCGGCCACGGCCAGAGATAGCGCCATGATGTTGGTGCGAGTCTGCAGCTGCCTGAAGTAGGCGATGGACGTGATGATGAGGAGGTTGCCCAGGACGGTGGCGAGGATGAGCGTGGTGATGGCGCTGAGCGCCGCGGTGCGTTCCGACATGGAGAACGTGGGCGAGCTGCAGTTGAGGTGGTAGAAGGAGTCGATGCAGTGGTCGTATGGACCCACGGTGCGGTTTTCCATGGTGAAGCCGAATATTGTCGTGTTTGTGTTTTTGTATGTATGTATTTACGTGTCTGTGTATGTGGAGAGCGGTAGTTTAGCGGTTAGCGTGCTGCGCCACGAACCCGGCGACCCCAATTCGATTCCCGTTCAAGGACAACACCAGTGACAATTATCTGAACCCTTCCAGGGCCTCCCCTAGGTCGACTCAGCCTCAAATGAGTACCTGGTGCGATGTGTAAACATCGTCACTGGGGAGACAACGGAGGCCAGGCGTGGTGCTGGCCACCCTCTTTCGTGTGCGGTGTTCGCTTTCATAGGTGCTCGCTAACGAGCACTTTTTCCCAAAAATGTGTTAATGATATATATAGGGGGAGACGTTTTTGGGTCTGTGTGTATGAACGTGTGTGTATATATGTGTGGATGCAATGTGCTAGACACGAACCAATCAAAAAAACAAGCAGGTTTTTAGGAAATATATCCGGCAACAGATTAATCAAACAGCGGAGATAAATATAATCTCGTTTGGCTCAGGTTGGTGTGGATGACTGTTGAGTAACAACTATACTTTTACATTGAGGTAGCTGAGCCAGATGATTGCGTCACGAGTAGCGGAGTGGCCCATCACTTTGACGATATCTTCGTCGTATTTGTAACTCGGACGCTGAGTCCTTCTATGTCCCATGGTCTGTTCTGGGTGACCACAGTCACCGCATACTCGAGATTTAAATACCAAATCCATTTAAGATAATATAATGGAGAGCTTATTAAAATAGCTTGTGTTGCGATCGAAACGTTGTGATAATTTTATTCACTTTATTTTTATTTTTTCTATCTACGTGATTTTACTGAAATAACCATAGAATATTACCACAATGCGTTTGAGTCTATGCAACAGCCACACTTACGATGCGATCACAAAGCACGAGGGATTTAAACAAAGCTCATTCGAACTCTGAGAAACGTTATTGACAATTACCATAATTTACGGCTTCATACTCGATCGCCGAGTTCTCGATTTTAATGCCCTGAGAGGAGTCAAACGAGGCAAATTTTTTACTTCCGAGTAATTACATCGGGAATCCAGAAACGGATTTCAGAATCTGACGTCGTGCCATGATTTAGGAGCTACTGCAACAACAATAGGCGGTCATTTTACACACGTGCGTTTGTGTGTGTGCGTTTCACTGACGGCACTGTGCCGTTTTCTGAAAACGTTAATGACAGTCACTGGACTTGAACTTCACTGGAATTGAATGCACGCGGAAAAATACATGTAACATTGTGACAAACAGTGTAGAATACAGGAACGCGTCACTGCCGGTGTCGTCGTTTCTCCGTGGCAGCCCCTGTGTTTCTTCTTGCTCTCTCTCTCCTATCTCCTGTCTCCTGTCTCCCTCCCTGCACTCCAGCTCACGATGGAACTCTCCCAGCTGAAACAGCAGGAGCGCGACCCACAACCTCCTCCACCTCTCTACACGACGCAGCAGTGACCATGGCCATCGTATCTCCCTGGCAGACCCCGCCGTCTGGAACGCGGCCATAATTTTCGTCATCATCGTCCCCACTGATTGGTCTTCATTGGTCTTTAAACCACTTAATGATAGAAGATGTGCCAATACTCTATGTTTTCTACAGATACATCTGAAACGTGTGCATGGTGAGTACAGATTTTATTGAACGTTTTGAATAAGATACATGGTCTTCAACTGGGAAACCAGTAACCCGGTCATCCTCGCAGTGGCTTTTGGCTCGCCATCGAACAAAGACGGTCACTGCATGGCGCGATTTCAGATGCACGTCTGCGGCCGTCTGGGACGCTCTTCCTTCAGATATTAGCAAGCCACTGGAGCTATGCACTTTTTAATTGTTTAGATTGAAAATCTTTAGATTGAAAACTCTTTCTTAAAAACATATTTTTGTGTTTTGTTTAGTGTCCTTCCCCCGTACCTCGGATTAGCACGGTTTGCTACGTACAGTGCGAAATAAGTTCTACATACATGCATGCAAATGAAATAAGTATCTTTTGCGGTAGGCAACGAGATGCACGAAGGACTGAAGATATTCGGGAAGTGACAGCAATCGCCGATAATGATGCTGCTGCTACTGTTGAAGGAAATGGAGTGGAATTTGGCAATAGGACGCGTTATGAGAACGGCTGACGAGAAGCAGATAACACCGCCTATGGAGAGGAGATCATCTCGAGAAGAGGCAAGATAAGCAGAAGAAGATCACGGAAGAGACGGCAGGGGAAGTGGAATCACGAGGTTCAGAGCCCAACGTTGGCATGTTTACTGGGAACTAGATAAGGACAACGAAGTGAAGGAAGCAAGGGAACAAAAGTGTGTGTGTGTGTGTAGGGAGCTGTGGCCCAGTAGTTAGCGCAATCCGTTATGAACCCGGCAACCCGGGTTTGATGTCCACTCACGGTCAACAACAGTGACGATTATCTGGTGCAATTTGTAAACATCGCCACTAGGAAGACAAAGGACGGCCGGGCGTGGTTCGGGCAACCCACCCCCTCGTGTGCCATGGCAGCCTTCTTAGGTGCTCGCTAACAGCACTTGCCCCAAAAGTCTGTTAAAGTCTATAAGGGGATCTTTGTATACGGTGTATATATATGCGGGCGTGTGATTTTTTTTCAGAGCTGTTGAACGAATGGAAAGGATCTTGATTTTAAACGTTCGTTACTGCAGGAATCCGATACTCTTTTGTTCTTTCGGTAAAGTCACGTAGGTAGAAATAAAATAAGATAAATCACGACGTTTCGAACGCAATACAAGCGCCCGTCTTCAGGTGAACACCGCGACAGCTGCGAAGTCTGTTCCCTTGTGAAGAGAAGCTGTTACCTCCAAGAAGAAGGTACTCTGCAAATCCACCGGCTACCTTCAGAGATTTGTTCATGAAAGCCATCCAAATATATAAACACAGACACAACTTCAACCGAGAAGATGGGTACAAACTGAGCAATCATTGGAAGGACATGATTAACCAGCGCAGCAGCCAGCTCCGTAGCAGGAGCGAGCTCCACACCCTCACGCGTTAGCACGGCCATCTTTTAGATCGCTAACATGGCTGCTTTTGTCAGATATGGACATGCAACCACCGGCATGACGGTATCGACTTGCTCATCTCTCATTGACTTTAACATGATATTCTCATTAACCTCGCTCATTGACTTTGACATGCTTTTCTCATTAACTTTAACATGCCATTCTTTGTTGCACATAGACTGACATTAACTTGCTCATTAAAATACATATTCGAATCCGACATGCTAATCTGAGTTCTCATGCGCTAGGGAAGCTCATTAACTTTGCACTATAATCCAACATGCTAATCTAAGTTAATTCCCTTTAACATGCCACGCTATTTATTACCTTTACACTATAATGCCCCAGTAATACTACTTCGGCTGCCTTTGTTCTCAAAACGTATATAAACTCTTGCTGGTAACAGATTCTCTTCACAAGGGAGCAGACATCGTGATGCTCGCAGCAGACATCGCAGCTGTCGCGATTTTCACCTGAAGACGGGCGCTTGTGTTGCGTTTGAAACGTCGTGATTTATTTTACTTTAATTTCTACCTACGTGACTTTACCGAAAGAACCAAAGAAAATGGATAGGAGTTTCGACGTTTCTCAACTTCAGCAAGGTTGTATAAGCACTTGGGAAAAGAAACAACGGGGAAGGGGGGGGGTGGGTTCAAGTGGAGCTGTGCGATGGAAGAAGAAGCAGCAGAAGTAGAAATGTGTTGACCTGCGATGTGGTGAGTGGTTGAGTGGGTGGCTTTCGTGAGTGAATACGTTAATGGATGAGTGACTGTTGTTGTGTCATACATTGTGGTGGTTGAGCAGAGTGTGGATGAGATACAATAGCGAGTCCGGTAGACAGAGCCCTGAACATTGGTGGGGGGAATCAAAGAGTGACGTTCAAAGTAGAACAGTAACCACGGTAGTAGCGATAGAAGAGTGAGACGGAGGCGACTGGCCGACGGTGAGAGAGCGAGTAACTGGAGTGAATCATCGAGTGCTGAATCATTGATTGCAACTGGGTGCTCCACACCAGATATTCAGCCGAAGCAGGGTTCCAGCTTAGGCCAAATGTGTGCGTATAGTGTAGCAGTGACAGAAGTATTTGGTAGAGGTCAAATTAAAGCAAACTTCTTCCATGCCTCATTGGCCTGATGAGTGGAACTGCCGTTCCATGACAGCTCAGAGGAAATCGGTGTACCAAGCAGTTTCGTGGTTTAACTATGGATGGACATATCAGTGTAAATGTTTTTAGAAGGAACTTTGGAATTGCCGGTTCTAAGTAGATGCGATTATCGCCTGGGTGTGTTTGAATTGTACGTGACATTGTATTTGTCAGCGATAACCCAAAGTCGCCGATGCCAAACAGGCGAACTCACTTCGCACAAACCTCGCAGCAGCGGATGGAGGCCGATCTGCCGCTCCTCTCGCCCGAGAGTCTTCCCAGAGTCGACGCGCGTCCACCCCACACCCGGGGCTTAAAAACCTTCCACCTCGTGTCCCCTGGCGCTGCCTGAATAGCACCATAACCCTCTTCCATTTCTCCCTCCCCACTTTCACCCACCCCTCGTTCCCGAGGAACCACCCCAACTTCCACCCCGCCCGTTCCCCCAGCCCCTGCGTGGATTATGAGCGAGTTTTCTAATGTGCTGGCTCATGCTAATTGGGCTGCGTGAACGCAGAACGCGGGTCACTGGGGGTTTCGGGCGTTTATGGATTGGATCTTGGGGGACCTTGCTGTTTGCAAACGAGCGAAGCAGGATTTTGCCGGCTGTGGAAGTTTCCGATTGGAAGCAGTGTTAGTTGGTCGTAATGACGATTGGCGTTGACGATGTTGATGGTTGGCGATTGTTGATAGTTGGTGATTATTTATCATGATGGTTCGTGATTGTTGATGATGGTGGTTATTTATGATGGTGGTGATGATGATAGGCATTTGACAAAATCATAATTATTGAGTTGTATAACGTGCCGCTGCAGAGTATGCATTAACTCTTGTAGAGAATGAATGACAAAGAATGACTAGGGGCGCTTGAGGGAACCACAGACAAGGCGATGAGCCGGCACTACCAACAAGTAAA